TGCTAGCCCGCACCAGGGCTAAACGTAGAAAGAACTATCCGCCCGGAACTGTATGCCCCAGATGTCGGGCGATAGAAATTCTGTACCCCTGAAGGTCCACAAAGAATTGCAAGACTCTGATAGCCACATACATGATCACAGCTGAAGTGCCAAGGTTTCTTAACCCTGTTCTAGGTATTGCTGACCCTAAACTTTTCATGTGACATGCGCATCTTTTGAGCAGGCAAACTCCACATAAAATGTGATGTGCAGTTTAAGCCTACATTTGTTGGGGTTCTCCCTGGTCAGTGATGTTCAGGGTTTCGGGTAGAAGTGGTCTGCTGTAAAGTTGAGAGTGCTGGTGTCAAACTTGATGGTTACATTAGGAACTTTGAATCTGTAATCAAACTAACCTGTCATCTGTACAATAAGAATGGCTCAGATTCTGTTAGACTGCATATATTTTGGGCACATGGAATAAGTGTATTAATGTTCCAAGCAGTAGGTGGAGCAGGGCTTCTTATAAAATATGGGTCACCAATAGTTTACTGGGCCCTCTGTCTGTTGGTGGTGGGGGAGCTCCTTATGTCAGCAGTGGGAGTTGTGACATTTTTGATAAACTTGCACCCCCCTGATGCCCTTTCAGAAATCAAAGGTTCATTTCAGATATTAGGCATTTCTTTCCACCCTGATGATGACCAAGGTCCTGCTATTTTGGAACTAAGTTGATGCAATTGTTTTTACTTCATATGTATCAAATTCTTGTTCTTTTGTGATAGACTTGAGATTTTGCAGCATTGCAACATTTAAGTTTGATCCATGCATACAACTGTATCCTTTCTCTAATTTGATATTGTCCTTTCTGTACTTTTTAGCATTCGTACCTCAACTAATAGCCAAGTTAACAAACTGACTTTGACCAGTGATGAGTCCACGCTCATAGAGGACGGAACCAGGAGTGATGGTTCTCTCAGCGATGCTGATGATGTACACCGCGCTATTGACAATGAACGTGATGGGGTTACTTACAGCTATTCCTTCTTTCACTTCATGCTTTTCCTGGCCTCACTCTATATTATGATGACGCTTACCAACTGGTACAGGTGGGTTCGATGTATTGCTTTCATGTCCGTGATATTACTAGCTATATACTCCCATAACTTACAACATTACTGCTTTCTTGTTTGTTGTATGTGAAATTCTACAAAATAGTTTCTTAGCATGAAAACTGAACGTACTCCTGCTGTGGATATCTACTTGAAGATATTAATTATTGGATGTGTAGATGGAAATTCTGCCAGTATTGGTTGTGGTTATAGAGTAGTTTGTTTTTTTGTTGCAGATTATTCAGTGTGTCAACAATTTACAGTACATAGAGACCATGGTTTCAGGATAAACCTTTCTTTTCAAATCAAGTTCAGTACTTTTGTACCCATTGTTTCTCTAAGCTATTTCATCTGCTTGGAGTAAAACGTGTATTTCCATGTTTGCAGTCAAATTTGAGAAAACTCTTCTATATGTTCTTTATTACCATTCACACAGCATACTTAAAATAATTTTTAAAACAATACTTCTTACCTTTTAGCTGTTTCTTTGATGAAGGCCTTTCTGCAGATTCCAGGCTACTCTGAGCAGACAGAGCTGCTTCTCCTTAACATACAATTCCTTGAAGTCTTTAACCCTTTAAGACAGTGTTCAAAACTAGTTCACAACTGGTAACGGAATCTCCCAGCAGAGTAAAGACAGGATTGGAGTATATAACTAAATCTATAGGAAAATTGGGATTTTAAGATGTCATTAACCACAAGATAAGACCTCCATAAAATTAAGAAAAAGCTATTTTTATTAAGACATAGTTAAAAATATTCATAAAATTGTGTAGTTAATGGTATATCAATATACTAGATTTGATGCTTTGTGCCTCCTGGACATACTACATACAGCTTGCATACAGAAATGTCCTATAATTCTAAAGAGATACAGCTAAGTTAAATTGTCTGTAGTAGTCCAATCTTGCAAAAAAATAAAACAAAGGTCTAAAGTGCTACTACCAGTGGAAAAACAGTGTTCAGGGGGTGTTGAGGCCTGGAGGAATGCAGGATGTGAGTGACAAAGTTCTCCATTGGATGACAAAGGCGTAAGGGAGAGAAAGATAACAGTTTTTGCTCTATTTTTCATCAGTTGGACACCCCGGTCCACACTCAAACTAAAGCAGCACACCCTCCCATTTTTTCCCTCCCTTCACCCCCCAACAAAAACTTCCAAAAGAAAAAACAAACCCCTCCCCCCTCTCTTTTTTGTAAATGCAAAACTTTCTATAGTAGTCCAATCTTCAACAGGCTTCACATTTTTTGCATCAGGAAGGTGAGGCAGCTTATAAGCATATCACAGAGACCACATGTATAGATCACATAACGAGAAATTGCCTGGAAAATGGTTGCTGCCACCAGCAGAAAAGCGCCCAATCACATGTAATAAGGGTTTGGAGGTAGAGCTGGAACCAACTAATCGATTATCAGAATAGTTGTCAACTGTTCTCATTATCGATTAGTTGGTTGAGAGCGATTAAAAAAAAATGCAACTAATCAATTAATTGAAAAACTAGGGCAACTAATCGATTTATGAAAATATTTGTTAGCTGCAGCAGCCCTAGTTGGAGGGACGCTCAGCTTGGACTCCTGTGATTTAAGTCTGTAATGGATGATTCCCCTTTAACATACCACACTAGGGCTTATGCAATCCATGCCGAATAGTAACTTTGTTCGTATTCTCCTAATCACCATCCCCCTGCCTAAGGACTTTTCTGCAGACTCCAACCCCTCATTGGATGCACTTGGGGGCTTTCCTGCTGGCGGCGGCAAGCATTTTCCAGGCAATTTCTCATTATGTGACCATCTATACTTGTGGGCTCTGTCATATGCTTATAAGCTGCCTCACCTTCCTGATGAAGCAAAAAGTGCGAAACCTGTTGAAGATTGGACTACTACCTACAATTTAAGTTAGCTGGATCCCTTTAGAATTATAGGACATTTTTGTATGTAAGCTGTATGTAGTAGGTCCAGGAGGCATTAAGTATCGAATCAAGGATGTTGATATGTACCACTAACTACACAATTTTATTAAAATTAAACTATATCTTGATATTGCTTTTTATTAATTTTAGGGTTGCATCGATACTCGTACTTGCCCAAATGCTCCGATGCCTGGTCCGATATTTAAGCTTCCAATATCAGGAAGCCGGGCAGCGTGTCATTACACGCTGTCTGGCTTCCTGATTGGCCTGGTGACGGGGGAGCATGGAGCCGGCTTACCGGCCAATCAGGAAACTGGGCAATGCGTCATTACACGGCGCCCGGCTTCCTGATTGGCCCTGCTAATCAGGAAGCTGGGTGGCAAGTCTTTACACGCCGCCTGGCTTCCTTAATGGGACTTCCAGTATCGGCGAGTACAGCAAAAAAAAAAATTGGTATTCGATACAGAAAAACCAGTATTGTTACATCCCTAATTTTTATGGAGGTCTTATATTGTGGTTAATTACATCTTAAAAGCCCAATTTTCCCATAGATTTGGTTATACACTTATATATGGTGGTGTGATGTCAGAACGTTTGGGGATCTGGATAATATAGGGTTATTTAGAGTAAACATAACGTTGCACAGCCCCCTCTTTAAAATTACACAGGGGGGAGGTTAGGTCAGATTTTTAAGCAAGTATAAAGCATTTCAAAATGTTTTTTTTTTTTTAGTTCTGCAATGTAAATGGTAACAAACATAAAATAAATGTCATCCCAATCTGGGTAGCAAAATGGAACTACACTTTAAGGATCTGACAATTCCAGCCTCTTGCTGCAATTCTACCTTTTACTACTGTGTCATGATGATCAGGAAGTGGCTCACAGCACAACCTAGTAATCTGTTATATCAAATTGATGAAGCTGCCAATGAGAGCATGCTTGCAGTCAGCCAGCTTTGGTGCTGGAGAGGACACAGTCTCCTTCATCACCTGGCGAGGGGACTTTTTTTTGCACCCATTTGTCACATAGGTTGGGTGATTTTTTTTTTTTTTTTTTTATGAAGAGAGACAAATTGTTGAATTATAGGCATCCTAATAACCATAATGCTGATAGTTTGATTCTTTTAATATTGATGACTTAATGGGTTAGCAGTTTTTTTAACAGACCGCCTTTTATATTTTCAGCCCTGACTCTACTTATGAAACGATGACTAGTAAGTGGCCTTCAGTCTGGGTGAAGATCTCCTCCAGCTGGGTGTGCATTGTCCTGTACGTGTGGACACTTGTCGCTCCATTGGTGTTAACCAGTCGTGACTTTGATTAGTATAAGAAGAAAGCGAAGTGTTTGTGTGCAATTTCTCTAACTGTGCCAGGAGCACTAGGTTATATAGACATGTCCCAGTTTTGCATGCTTTATCATAACAGTTCCCTTGCATGATGCCACAGTATATGTACAGTAAGACTAGCTACTTGGAGCTGTTTTCTATAGGCATCCTTTGTATTAACCATACTCATTACACTCATACCATAACATTGCTCCTCTAGTTTTGACTTGCTGAACAGTAGTATTGAGGTAAGAAATGTTTTCACTGTATTTCTTCAATGAACAATCGGTATTCTAGTGTGTTTGTCACATATAGTTGTAATAATTGTGTCTGCCAGTCATATACTGCAGTAAAATAGTGTGGTTGCTCACCTTTAAGTCCAGCGCCTGCTGGTACTGAATACTTAGCCAGAAATATCACTCTAAAGTGTGCCCATACACAGGACAGTAAAAAAACAAATGTACAGGTCTTGTATGGATAAATACTGTATAACTTATTTAAAAATTAGATTTCATTTCTCTGCAAATGCCGTGGCAGATGGAGTTGTGCAAGCAGGGCAGCATGGAACAAACCTGTGACTAGTTGGTCATCTTTATCTGAGCACATTAGGTCAAGCAGCCCCATCTCATTGTGTGTCTTAATGAAATGTATAGTATCACAAGGGAAGGCGAGTAGTAGTAGTGCGGCGTTTAACATCCGTCACCATCAGTGCATGGTTTGAGGATTTCATGAAAAGAACACTAAGCAGAATGGGATTGTATGTCTCGCCATTTCACTTTTGTTCTGGTTTAGGAGATCCACAAAACCATTTTGCTGATGACATTTGAAAGGTGAAATATAGGTCAGTTACTAATGCATATTAGAACACAGTATTTGTATTCAACAATGTGTGTAGATGGTCTACATTATGTGAAACTGACAGTGTAGTCAGCATGTGCAATTCTCTTTGTATTGTGTATTACACCCAAGTGTGTATGATTTATACATTTTTGTTCTTTCTATATGTTCTACATGTGTTCTAAAAACAAGATTGTTGTCTTTCTAGATAATGATTTGATCAGCTCCTCTTATTTGTATTTAACTTTGTGGAATGATTACTGTTTATCCTATTGAATAAAGCAGTACATTGAAATCTGTTGTACTATAGTTACTCTTCATATCAAAATAATGCCTTTTCCTGTATTTTCTAAACCAGACGTACATTGTTAGTGAAATGAAACCGTTTGGGTGTGTGTAGTTCAGTACAACCTCATGGAATTACATAATATGCACGTATTGTGGTATCTCCTTTCAGGAAACTGATAGGCAGTGGAATTTGAGAAAAATAAATTGAGTTACCTCTAAATTTCTATTCTTGGAGTACAAGACAGAACAAAGGACTTCAGCCTCAGAATCTACGTTTAGGCGATGGGACACCAGCAACAAGGTTGTTAGGATAGCCCAATGTAACCCCTCCCAGCTAGTTTTTAACAAGCAATAGGAGAAATCACAAATGGATGGGAGGGACCTGTGTCCTGTACTGTGCTCCAAGAAAAAGAAATATACAAGTAAGTGCTTGAAAGAACTATGGGGTAACCTTTGTATCCCATAATTCGCTTAAGGGTCACGGGAGGACTTATGCTAACCTCCTCCAGTGACCTAATGCTCAGTATATAACGAGCTATATACTGAGAACGCTGCAGCCAGGATGGATCCCAACAATACTGTCGATCCACCCAGCTGAATGACTGACAGCTGGCTCTGCCTGATCCTCCACTCGGCACTGGAGGATCAGGGAGGGGGGGGGAATCCCTGCGGGGAGCGGTGACAGTCAAATCATGGGATGTGCAAAAGCAGTCAACTGAGGGGTGGGCCACACGGGCTGTGATGCCCGAAAACAAAACTAAAGCTCAGATGCTGGCCGCGTACAGCAGAGGGCACCGCGGGCTCGCAGGGACAAGGTGAGTGTCACTTTTCTGTGCATTCCCGAGTCTGGCTCAGGGTTGCCGCTCCTGGTACTGAAAGTTAACCCTGAGCCAGACTCGGGAATACCGCCAGGGAGGTTAAGGTGGTAAGAAGAAACCACCTTGGGGAGAAAAAAAAGAGGGCTTAGGCCTCATCAATCTTCTCATGCAACACTAAAAAGGGTTCCTTTACAGGATGGGGCCAGCAACTCGGAGACCCGTCCCACGAAGGTGATGGCACCAAGAAAGGTAATCTTGCAAGTGAGATCGGCTAGGGGAATGTCCCTGAAAGGGTCAAATGGGAGCCTCTGAAGGGCTGTGGGAATGTCCACCAGAAGTCTTGTTCTCCACCTGCCAACAGTGGTTGGGAAATGTCTCTTGGTGAGACTATTCTCCAGAATTCAGGCACTGACGAGGAAATCCACTTGCCAATGATCTGCGCCCAGTATGTAAACAGTAGTCAGAGCTGGAATGTGAAGCTCTGCCCATCCAGAATCAGGTCTGCTTCTATTAAAGAAGTCTCACTAAGGATTTTCTTTCTTGCTTCCGTCCCCCAGGTGACAGAGTGCATAGTGCACATTTTCCCACCTTCCTAGGTGGTCTCTTCCTCCACCACTGCTGTCTGTCCACATTTAAACCAAGGAGATGCAGTCTTGAGTGAAAGTGCTTGTCTCGGCACCAGGTGCTTCCCCAAGACGAGCGATGTCATCAATGCAGTTAGTGGGGAAAAAAAAAGCCCACAGACATGGTCACAGCAGAGTTCAGAGCTGTTATTACTGATACAGGGAGAGGCAGCGGTGTCAGACTGAGGCCCCTGGGAACAGGTGCCTCATTCTAACTTGCATAGTAAATCCTTCTTGAATGAATGAAAGTAAATACAGAATTTGGAGCATAAACTTTTTCAGGGGTGATATCCGTTACCTTAAAAGATGTGCTGAATAAGCAAGTACACTGGAAAGGCCTTAGTAAGCTTGGGCCCCTCTCATGGAACCCACGCTGGTGATCTTGGGCTGAGAGGACATGGACATCTCCAGCACTGGGCAAGTGTACAGTGCCAACAAAGATGGAGATGTTGCATTTTGGGGCATTAAGAGGCAGAATGAGCCACCTCCTGCACTTTATTCTCAGACAAATTCTTCACATGCTTCCTATCCTCCTCCACCCCCTCCCTTTCTGCATGTGCAGCACCTGCAATGATAGAGTCTAAATGAGATCCAGGAGGGCAGGGCATTGCATCCCCTGCAGCCTGAGGGCTCCAAAAGGGTGTACAGCTTTCCCCTGTTTTTTTTTTTTTTTTATATGATGGCAGAAAACCCCTCCCTGCTTAAGCAGGAGGGGGGTGATGTGAGCCCAGGGGGGTGTGAGTTAGAGGGGAACAATTGAGCCATTAACCCCTTCATGACTGAGCTTGTTTTTGGTTTCTGTTCGTAAATGACTGACACACTTTTGACATTTTTGCTGTGTGATTCTTCCACGTCAGTAATATACTTTCTTACAAAGTGCACCCACACATATTATATAGTTTTTTAGAGGACAGATAGGGCTATATATTTATATCACATATGTGTGTCTAACGCCTCACTTAGGACAAATACAAATTAAAAAAAGAGGAAAAAACGTAAAAAAAAACTTTTTTTCCCAGTTTTGATTTGTATTTTTTTTTAACAAAACCAGCACAGCTAAAAAAAAAATGCAATACATACATTTATTTGTCCCTTATTTTTAATTTATTTACACTTTTCACTTTTTTTATACTGACAAATTTTATTTATTTATATCAGGCAGTCATTGTGAATTAATCTCACTATTAGTGCTTGATAAATTAATAATTTTTTTTTTATTATCAGGCTGCTTCAAACTTCAGAACAGTCGATAATAAGTTAGTGACACTGATCCTGCAGCAGTTCAGGATTCAGCTGTCAGTGAATGTTTCAGAAAACTTAAACATTCTACTTTCAAGAATAGATACATTATGTGTCTAATACATAACATTTTGTATCTATTCTTCAAAGTCAAAAGATAAAAAAAAAAAGCCAGTATAGCTTGAGAGAGATATCTCTCGATCTATACGAGCTGTCAGAATGCCGGCAAAAGCCTACATGTGTGTTCGCTTTGCTGTGACTCTCAGACACCCGATATTAAGGTATCGGGTGTCTGAAAAAGGTTAACCCTTTCAGTAATGGATCTCTAGATAGACATCCATTACTGAAAGGTAACCGCTGATTCTCAGCGGTTAGCAGCCTTCTAGTGCAGCAAATAACTCGTCACGTACAGTGTACGTGACGAGTCATTTGGTCCCTTTGTGGCTGGACGTACAGTGTACGTCTCCCGTCACGAAGGGGTTAAGCAAGAATCTTCAGGGGACACCCCCAGAACTGCTGGCAAAATGAGTCAGCCAGGGCCTTAGACCCATTCCACCCAGGTGCTGGACCCAACTGTAGCTGTGCCCATGAGGTAAGAGCAGGAGGAACATATATTATACATTGTTCTGGGTCATCCAAGAAGGCGGGGGGCATGTGCACTCCTGAATGAAATGCTGCATAGGCACAGTAGAGTAGGCCTGTCCACCACAAATGGGCACTAATTTTGTAAAAACCTGGCTCCCACTGCAGTGCCCCACTAAAATAAGATAGTACCTATGGATTTCCCCTGTGAGCCAGCAATAATCAGACTTTGATTTGGCAATAACTTAATTTGGAACGCATGCAGGGAGTTATACAAAAGTTATAAAAGTAAAATAATGGCAAGGGTGCCTTAATGCAATGACAAACCTGTTCACAGCTAAAACAATTCAGGATTGCTGGGAGTAGGAGGTGTTATATTGTACTAGCCCACAGTATTTCTATTTCCCAGTGTCCAATCCTCCTATGGGCAGTACAACCCGAATACTTGAATTTTTCAATGGACTATCAAATGGACTTTACAATAGATTTAAAAAAAAAAAAAGGTCCCATTTATTTGCACTAATACCAATACCAGTATTGGGGCCGAGCATTGCACAAGTACTGGTACTGTACTCAGATACTGGCACTTCATTTATGTAAATTGAAACCGCTACCTTTGGTCCCGCCCTTGCTGGGCCCCTCTTTACAGCGCTTCCGTCAGCCCGCACATCTTCCCCTCCGCCCAAGGCACCAGGCCAGCAGAGCTACAGCACAGCTATGGTGCAGCAAAACTGCACCTAAACTCCACAACTACTTTAGAACTATTGCCTGCTGTTTCTGTCCTATTCTCTACATTGCTGGGATTTGTAGTCTTCTATAGCCAGTACCATTCTGCATTTCTGTATAATGTATTGCAGAGATTTTTAGTCCCACTATAGCTTGGAGTCAGTGGCAGAACTACCAGGGTCACAGCTGCGACGAGGTGCTGGTGCTTCACCACGGTCCTAAAATCATTACACTGATTGTTTTAGAAAAACTGTAGACACAAAAAAAAAAAAAAAGGTATTGGTAAGTACTCGAGAAAAAGTATCAGTACTTGTACTCTGTTTTGGAAAAAAAATGGTATTGGTGCATCCCTAATTTCCCGTGTATATAATCTGCTTCATATACAGCTTATTTGAATTTTCAACTTGGTTTACAGCCTAAGGTGCCACAACCCAACCAAAACATTCATGCCCTTTCAATATAAAGTTTCTTTAAAAGTATGGGAGCATCAATAAAATAGATCTATACATTAATGCAATAAGGGTACACAAATACAGTAATACAGTATTATTCAATCCAGCATGGCTCTAAAGAAAGTGCAGAGCGGTAATGAATTTACATGTGGTTCAGTACGGATTAACCTCATTTACATTGAACCTTATGGGAAAATTTTAAGGTGGCCATACACTCTACAACCATCGCAAGACTTTAGTCTTGCGATGGTTGTAAAGGGATTAAAAAAACTTACGATCTGCCTATCTTGATTCGCAACCAAAATCGGTTCGCGACCAACCACGTTCGTAGGGTCAGAACGGATTAACCTTATGGGGAAAATCTGATTCGGTTCGTGACCAGAATCATGGAACGAATTAAGTTCATGAACCGAGGTACCACTGGACATGACGTAAAAATATATTAAATTGTGTAAAATGTCCAAAACTCATTCCTCCGTGAATACAATAATTCAAACTCTGTCCATAGTGAATGAGACACAAGCAACCCCAATCTTTGCAGTAGCCTTTAGCAATCGTTGATAGCTTCTTAGTGTAGATGCCCACAGCTTCCACTCAGTGTATTGTGTACTCCACCATCTGCATGGTGCATCCACAAAAAAATCCACTGCAACCATAAAATTACAAAAAGGTCAATTGTGCTTGTATATGGAGTCCTCCTAAATCACACCTCCGCCACCCTCAGAAGTTTCATCAAGCCAGCATCAAAATTTAAAGGAGACTGAAGAAAATCCACAATTGTGAACACCTGAAGATGAAGCCATAATCCGCAGACCAGCTGGTGACTTGGTGATCAATGAGATATCTAGTTTTGTATAGTTATGAAGAAAGAAAAACCAAAAAGGATTTTTTCTCTTTTTTTTTAAAAAAGTTTTTGTACAAATAAAAGGGGTCTGTCAGATCTGTTTATTGAAGTAAAACATGTCATGGCCATAATAAAGTAACCTTTAGAGAGTAGTGCATGAATGGGTTTACATAAAAGACCCACTGTACAACCGAACAGAAATGTTCATTGGTCCCTCGAAGCATACACACTAAAAATGACAGGCACTTTTGATCCTAGCTCACTCTATATAGATGTCCATACACAAAGGATTCCAGCATACTGTTTATATACACACATATGCACTACCTGCTCAATGTAACATGGATGCAGACGAAGGCACACTGCACTTCATAAAAGGGATGACAACCAAGACTAGAATAACATGCTTGGTGCGTCTGGCCTAACAGAAGCTGCAGTTTTATTAGTGCTTGTGTCATAGGATTAGGAATTTGTGCATATTGCAGAGTAGGTGTATATACACATTACATATAAAAGCAACATGGATTAATGGAGCTCAGGTGACAGCCGACAACTAAACACAACCAAAAAGGTAAAACAAACCTAGATTATGAAACCGTTGGTTTAAAATGATAACAGGTCTTTAAAATGCAACCAAATCTAGCAGATTATTTTGTACATAAACAAAAACGTGAAAATTGCAGTGTCAAAAAATTGCAAAACATCATGAGGGAGAAACACAGTGTACCAAAATGATACTTTAAATAAATAGTTCATCATTTTGATGAATATCTACAGGTGTACAGGGTCCCAGGTATCTAGCTGTCCAGTAAAGACATGTCATTGTCCAGAGGTGCAGGTGCAAGTTCACAAAAATAGAACAAAGTAGCTTCACTGGCCTCGGCTTCAGTCAGGGGCTCTAAACGCACAAGTTTACTCTGCGTGGGCTCCGATTCCAGGTTTAGGCTTGATTCTAATAAATTGTTCATATCGGTTGCCTTGGCAGATGGGACATCCGATGCAAAGGTTTCAGAGTCTCCGTCCAGAAAAGCCATAAGGGGGTAGGATGTGTATTGTACAAGCTGTTGGCCTAGTTGGGAAATAAAGAAAGCCACAAATGATTAGGAACATTTTAAAATTACATACAGTAATAGTTTTAATAACTGGCTAAACCTGCGTTCATATTCACTACAAGAGATACTAAAAAGATGCAGGTCTTATAACCCCAAGAGTCTGTTACTCATAGAAACTAAGAACTTTGTTTTTTCCTTTCCTGCCGCCATGTAAGGGGAACATTTCTTCATTGCTGTGGGCAATACAATTCTTTCACTAAGACTTCAGGGCTTTTCATGAACAACTGCTAAGTAGAGACTATCTAATCATCGATATTTTGAGCCATGGAGGTCATTGTGTCATGTGCAATGCCACTTGCTTGAGCCCAGCTACAGTTCTGTATTAAAGCCAACAAAGCAGCTGCCTTTGGGAGCACAATCTATAAATAAAACTAAGCTATGCAGTAGCTGGGCTTACTTTGCAGTTTTTAGTTCAAGACATAATAGAGAAGGAATTAGACTTGTCCCAGCTATTTAGTGTATGGTCTCCGTAGTCTCTCCATCTAGCATTGTTACAGAGGTTTGCTGAATCTTAGCTTGGGGGGGACTTCTAGAAATCTCAAAAGATCTTTTTAATTAGGATTCTTCTGATGGTTAAAGTACATGTTCATGTTTGGGGCAAAATCTGTTCAGTCCCCTAAATACAACCTGTCCCTACAGGTTATGTACTTACCTCTTCTAACTTCCACAGCTATTGGCTGCAACCCAGCCAGTGAAACTTTAGTGCAGAGCTGCCCCTGCCTGCCAACATATGTCCCACAGATTTGAATAGGACGCATCTGCTGCTATATGGGCATGTTCCATACAAAACTATGGGAAGTTCCTGTGTGGGCAGCCTGGCACTAGATATTTACCAGCTGGGCTCAAACAGCGCAGGAAGCTGCAGTAATAAGACGAGGTAAGGGCCCTTGGGGGTGGTGGGGATTATCCACCCAGACAGTTCTAATGGGAAGGCTTGATGAATTTTGTCCCAAACCCGTGCTTGTTTTTTAACTGCTAATAAAGACAGTATGGCTTGGTTACTTCTGGTTGACCATCTTAAGAAGGGAATCGCAGGATGTCAGGACAACTTTTGCGAGTCTCAGTACTAGAGCAAGCATGTGTGCATTTAGTTGCCCTGACTTATCACAACAGATTCTCAGGTAACCAAGCTTGTCCCAGTACTGCAATTCACATTATACTGACTGAATACCCAGAACTGCTTGAGGGATGTTCAAAAATGACTCCGGAACTCTTCTAGGAAACTTGTAAGGAACCTTAAACTTCTAAAATCATCAGAAGACTACAAGTAGTATGTGACAAAACTACTAAAACAAACCTGATTTTATACCATCTGTATTTGCTGGTCCTGGAACAACTTCACTGTTTTTTGTCTCGATTCCTTTCGTTTCCAACTACATCAAAAAGAGGAAAAATAAAAATTAAAAATCAAGATCTTTAAAGATAAAACTGAAATACAGGATAAAAATATGAGGAGACTACTTGCAAATATGTTGATTGCAGATTCTGTCAGCAACAGAAGAACCCCTTGATGCAAATAATATTTGCATGAGAGGTAATAAATAAAAGTGATTACACTCTTGTGTTTCAACAATGTAACGAGAGTGGTCTTTAATAAGACAGTGAGCCATAGCTACCTCCAAGACATGTTGGAATCCAGGCTTGTGTAAGGACCAGAAGGGATGACAAGGCTGTAGTAGGAGCTTCCATTATGCTAGATACAAGCTACTTGTCTACAAACACAAGGCAAAATGATTAAAAAATAAATGTGCTCTCTTCAAACAAAAAGGACAGCAACACAAAAGGGTTGACAGCAAAGATCTCCACATACCAAGACAACCTTGGCCTAGCTCTTAAAGTGTATTTAAAGCCAAAAATAATTTGTTTACATTGTGAATAGAGTTGGAAAGCATTAGAACCCCTAGTGGGTTTTTTCTGCTATCCCAGACTCCTATAGAGAGGTTTTCCTACAGAACTGTAAACAACATTGACAGGATGGTGGATCTCCGAATAACCAAGTGAACACATGACCAACTGCCCAGTACGGCTTCACTGCCCATTGATGCACCCAGTGAAGAAAACAGAGGTCGGTATCCATTATGAAAAGCATACCTTTGGGCCATTAAGAAAGTCAGAAGGACTCATTTGCACATTACTCTCGAATATCTGGAAAAGGAAAATTGTAAAATAAATAAAACAGATGGTCGGGGGCAAAAGCCAGATACCAAATTCACTTGCTATACCACACCGGTAAATGTTCAAGAGTATCCTTTTTATAGTGCACCAGTTACGCACAGACTGAAAACTGCAACATGATCCAAATAAATAATGCAACATGATCCAAATAAATAATACATTTAGTCTTGGGTATCAAAAGTATACATAGCAACCAGATTCTTACAGGTCTATTCACAAAAGGGTGAAGAGTTTGGAGAAGTGAACAATCTAGGACAGAGGTCTTCACACTCAATTTACTCGGGGGCCACTCAAATCTTTTTTCTCCCATGGGGGCCGCTTGCCAAGTTTCATACTTAAAAACAAAATGTAACTATATCCGGTATGATACTACGGACACCAATACACACAATAAGGCCCTGTTCATATCTGTAAGTTCAGGTGCGATTAGGGTTTCCTGCAGCAGGAATCCCTAATCTGGCGTTTACAAGTCACCCATTTAAGTTAATGATCAGGTTACCGCCGCTCAATGTAAACACCTGCACAGCGCTTGTACTGGTATGTGATATGATTACATGCGGCTAGAAAACACCCTCCTTGAATGTACAATTCATGCGTCCCGGGAGAGTGATTGATTCCACCCTTTTGTGAATAACCCTGTCAAGGTTTATTCTAGTGGAGGAAAGCAAAAGACTAAAGCGGCCTGCTATAGGCAACAGACTCTTGATACCTTAAAAACATTTCACTGAACAAATAAAATCCAGTGTTCTAAACAACAAAATAACTACTAATCATTTGACAACAGTACTCATTGAAAGAAACAAATTAGATCACCAATAACTTTTCATAAAGCAAAGCTGATGAAGCTATAAAACCTTCCTAGAGTGGTGCCGAAGCACAATCAGAATTAACTTTTGAAAATAAATAATTCAAATGAAAAACTGAACAACTCTGTATTTTTTTTAAAAACAATTTAAAGGCTTCTCTCCAGACACACAAATACCACCGTTTGGAGGTAACTGCTATTCAGATTTATAGCTAATCACTTGAAAATCAGGATTCACTTAAGGGCCATGTATATTTGATGAACAGTTTTTAGGATTTTTTTTCTTTAAATCAGGTTGTGAGTAAATAATGATGGTAAGTTTTGATAAACCATTCAAGCAACTCTGATAAGTCCCAGTCTGAGTTTATACACAGAAATCAGAAACTAGCTTCAGGTACATTTTTTTTTTTTTTTTTTTTTGTATCTTTTTTGAGTGTGAAGACACAAATATTTTTTT